TATCTTAGCATATATAAGAAGTTGAAGACTTGTGTCAAAAACTTACACAGGATGAAATGCAATGGCATTTACTGGATATACATTGTCCAGGCCAGCCTCAGATTTCCGATGGCACTTAAAGGCATATTTACAGATTATCCAGAATAGCCACTTAAATGAAGCAAAAGAAAATGAAAAACAGGTAGGATCAGCTGATGAACAGTTCCAAAGTTTATGTTATACACATAGGGAGCATAACCACAAGGTATACTGCTAAAAGGAAAAGAATTATACGTACTTTTTGGCTTGACTGGCCTCTGAAAGATCAAAGAACTCCATTGCCACCCGACCTTCAACTGAACTAAGAGCATATCCTACATAGAGAAGAAATTTTACCAAGTAGAACGAATGGACCACACGTCTAAAAATCTAACCCTTCATTTAAAGATTATTACTTTTAGAGGTTATGACTATTACCTGCTCCGTTTGGATAACATCTCACACACCTAGTTTCAATGAAGATTCCCTTCGTTGCTCAGGCTGGGACATATTTCGCAAGTCATAAACATTTACATGTCTTCCTGCAGTTGCCACAACTAAGCGATTTCCAACAAGAGATAATGAGTAAACTCGTTCAGGCTGCAGGTACGTGCCAACAAGAGTTTTCTCCTTGCCACTTGCTCCTCTTGGGTCCCAACATTTCAAGGTCTTGTCCCAACTGCCTGTGATACCTTGTCCTGTAACAGACAGAATGAAACTTTAAGAAACCAGATATCTTCTTAAATAAAACAAAAAGCACCCAATACCATGTTTAGTACATTCCCAAGATGTAATCCGTATCATTGGCATGACACTATTCTAACCCTCAAAACTTAAAAGTTAACTCATAAACAATGAGATCGATGTGAAATTTGTGGCTAAAAATCATTGAATTATGATTCAGCTAGCGTCAATCCCTCCAGAAACATTCAGGAAACTATGTCGAGCTTCAGGAAAAACACTTGACATTCGTACTAATAAACCAATGAATTAAATGAGACAAGATTTGTTATTTCAACCAACCTGCTGCATAAGATACTCTATACATCGCACAGGAAAATCATGTCTACCAAAAATATCCTCCTTTCCATGGCTGAACACTATCCTGCAAAGCTAAGAGCTCCATTTTAAGCTTGATTACAAAATTCATTTTACCAAACATTCTCGAGAACCAAAGAGAGAAAAAATGAAGGCAAAATCCAAAGCTAATTAACTAACCTCCTAACGGTATTATCATCACTGGCACTGAACCCAGAGGAGTCATCATGGAAGCAACAATCGAGCACGGGCCCACCGTGCAGGAACTCTCCTCGCAATGAGTCGGCACTTGCATCATACAATCTCACAATCTATTATAAAAACAATATGTTAGTTGGAAATTAAAGGAAACTTGAAAATTTTAAAGGTAATTGATGGTGAGGGAGCACCTTATCCTATGAGGAGACGAGATGGTGAGGGAGCACCTTATCATCACTGGCACTGAACCTGATGTGTCTGTGTTCCCTATCGTTGAGGTACATATTCTACCTTGTTACTATTTCCTCTTGTTCGGTGGATTTTCTTATATCTTCCAAACCCGACATATAAATAAAAGTACAAATTTACGTTAGTAAGGAGCAGCATCATAAATAAAATCATCAGACCATACCAGATCAGTAATTTCGACATCCTAATGGCATATACATATTTCTGATATAACATAGGTTCGGTTTAGACCGAGAATCGGCTAAACCTGCAGCTCTAATATCAATAAATGTAACACGCTTAACTCGTATACGTCTCGATACATGAGTAAAAAATGTCACATCAAATTAAAAACATTTTCTTAACTGAAAATGCCTAACAATTTGTTTATTTGAAAACACTCTTATTGTAACTTTAAAAATCTCTTTTTAAAGTATACATCAACTTATAATTTATTTCTTTGTTACTGGAAAATAAATTCTTTTGTTAATCAGTAATTTTATTAAACTATGTCTCTTCGTGAAAACTTTTAAAAACATAATAACGTAATATATTCTTTTCATGCATAGATACGGATAAAACTAAGCCAAGTAAAATAAACTAAAATAGTTCTAGTTTACTATAAATTCTTTTGTTAATCAGTAATTTTATTAAATCATGTCTTTTCATGAAAACTTTTAAAAACCTAATAACGTAATATATTCTTTTCATACATAGATACTGATAAAACTAAACCAAGTAAAATAAATTAAAATAGTTCTAGTTTACTATTACAGATTATTAAAAATAAATACAATAAATAGAAATCACTAACATAATTATACATGCCACTATAAGTCAAAAGAAACATCATAGACATCTTACTGATACTGATGATATGTATGTCTTTCCAAAAAAATGCTCTGATACCTCCTTACTGATCGTATTTATCCTTATTAGAACATACGCATGAAAATCATCACGCGCTAAGTATAACTTAGTGAGACAATAATATTTATCCTTACTGATCGTATTTATCCTCACTACATAATTTGTATATAATAATCCTAGTCATGAGCTTTGTCATTTCCTTTCGAATCGTTCGGATTGCATGATTTAACATAGTCTGACAACACCAAATTATAACACAAAATTTTTTTGAACTACATATTAGTATGGTACTAATATAAGCTCATTTTAACATTTGAAAATCTATAAAATAAAATTGATATCAACCAAACTCATAACTCCATTATAACTTAAAACTTATCGAAACACTTATTCAATTTCATAAATAATTATTCCCAACATGATTCTTCAACTTTTACCAATTATAAAATCAAACCACATATTTTAAATTTTTTCTAGAATTCAACTCAACTTTTCCTTTAATTCATAATGGTCCTTCACCATTATGATAATTGTACATTAATTACTAAAATTCCAGCACTTGAATAAAATACCCAAATCAATTCTTCAATATTCAAAACATTATAAATTTCAACTCAAACTTTCCTAAACTTTCGATTTTCAACACTTAACTTTATAAATTTGTAATTCAACCTCAATTCAATATTTAATTCAAAATTTAGCATACTAATAAATTTTCCAGCATTAAATAATATACTCAAATAATACTTCTTCATTTAAGAACTTGCAAACAAGTCCCCAAAGTTTTGGAACCTTTCAAATTCCACCATCTAACCTTTAAAATGAATTCTTTTAGAATTCTTCTCAACATTTCCAATTTATTCAAAATGGTCTCTTAACATTTAAATTCAATTCCAAGCATCCAAAAATATACTCAACATTTAAACATTACTCTTCATCTTCTAATCCATTTCAACGTAAATTCTAAAATTTTCATATTCAGACAACTTGCACTACCTTTAAAGAATCAATATTTTGTATTGATACACACACTTTAATTTAATTCCGTTTCTTCCATTGAAAACTATACTCGAATAAGAATCTATCCATATAAATAAATCCTTCTAATTCATTCTATACAATTTATGGTGAATTTTCTAAGTTGACCGAAAGAATCTGTTTTGTGCAGAATCTGCTGCCCATTTTTCTAACATTTCCTCGGTTACAAATTCATATCTTTTTGTATACAACTTGAAATTGATCTCCGTTTCTTTTAAACAAAACTAGATTGATATACGAACACAATATATAAAAATTACCTCCAAATAATTTTTATAGAATTTCTGGTGAATTTTCAAACTCACTGCCAGATTCAAAAATCTAAACTGTTTTCATTAATTTTCATCTTTAGGTTCTTTATCAATTCTTACAACACTTCTAATATCAAGAATCAATATTTAATCATAAAAATCACACTTCCCCTTCATAAATATCTTACCAACTTGAGCATGAAACATGAAGATTTTTTATGCCAAATGAAAGAGAATTTCATGTATGTTATTTTATCCTTAATAAGCTAACTTAAAATTCTAGTAAAAATGGACCAAAAATCAAACTAAAAATTCTTACCTTGAACAATTGAAACTTTCGCCCCCCCTGGAGAGTTTTTGCTGAAAATTCTCAACGTTTCTTGAAAATTTTGATGTTAATTAGCCTTAACACATTGCTAAATATCATTATTATTGAATTTTTTTATTCAATTTAATAGGAAATTCCATTTTTGCCATTAATGAAACTCCATAACTACAACTTTTCCACTCTATGACATCATCCCTTACCTCATAATATCCATAAAAAATATCTTAATTCTGAGTTTTCATGTTTGTCCTTGCAATTTTTGAAAATTGCAATTTAGTCACCTAATTCCAAAATTTTGGCTTAACATGGAAAATCGACCTTAATTCCATTAATCCATGTTAAATTTCACTTTTCTAAAATATATGAATAATATTTCCAACTATTTTATAACATCCTTCAAATTTTCGTAAAATTCCAATTCAATCTGAATATTCGATTTCAATACCGAACTTTACTGCTTTATAGCTTTTAACAAAATTCCCGTACCAAAAATCTGATTCCCACTAAAATCTCTGTTTTAATCCAAACTATTCATTTACAGGCTAAAATATATATCTTTTAAAAATTACAATTTTAGTTCCTATACTTTTCAAAGTTTATACTTTAGCCACTAAACTTTCAAAAATTATATTTTAGTCACTAGACAAAGTTTGGGGTATTATAGGAGATGTACATATAGTTGAAGGATCTTCTTGATGTTGGTTACATCCAACCTTCCAAGTCACCCTACGGTGCTCTGGTGTTGTTTCAAAAGAAGCACGATGGGTCACTTTGCATGTGCATCGACTACTGAGCTTTGAATAAGCTCACGGTGAAGAATAAGAATCTGATTCCTCTCATTGCGGATTTGTTTTGATTAACTTGGTGATACAAGGTGGTTCACTAAGTTGGATTTACGATCGGGCTATTACTAAGTCTGGATAACCGAGGGAGATGAATCGAAGATAATTTGTGTGATGAGGTACATTTTATATGAATACCTTGTGATGACTTTTGGCCTCACGAATGCTCTTGCCATTTTTTGTACGTTGATGAACAAGGTACTACAACCCTTTTTTGAAAAGTTCATTGTAGTATACCTAGATGATACTGTGGCTTATAGCAAGACATTGGAGGATCATGTTGAACACTTGAGGAAGATGTTCATGGTCTTGTGAAAGAATAGGCTCTATTTCAAGGAGGGAAAGTGCTCATTTTCTCAAAAGGAATTTCCGTTCCTCAGCCACATTGTTGGAGGTGGCGTGATCAAGATAGATAGGGACAAGATTCAGGCCGTTAAAGAGTGGGAAGCACCAACCAATGTAACGGATTTAAGATCATTCTTGGGGTTGGCTAATTACTACCGGAGGCTTGTCAAAGATTACTCCAAAATAGCCACACCATTGATCGAGTTGTTGAAGAAGACCAAGGTGTGGGATTGGGGACCGGAGTGTCAGAAAGCCTTTGACGAACTCAAGTTCACAATAGTGAGTGAGCTGGTCTTTGTGCTTCCAGATTACACAAGCCCTTTGAGATTTACACTGATGAATTCGATGTGGCGATTGGTGAGGTCCTTATGCAAGAGGAACATCAGGTTACTTTTGAGAGCTGGAAGCTCAAAGATGCTGAGTGGAGATACACGATGTATGAGGAGGAGATTACTGCGGTTGTCCATTTTCTATGAGCATGGCGACATTATGTGCTTGGGTCAAAGTTGGTGGTGTACACGCTTAATGTTGCCAACAGTTACTTCCTGACACATAAGAAGTTGTCACCGAAGTAGGCTTGTTGGTAAGAGTTTCTTGTCGCATTCGATGTTTCCTTGGAGCACAAAATAGGGAAAATAAGTTATGTTGTCAATGCCTTAAGTCGAAGGTACATTAGCGGGATGGTGATCTTGTTGGAGGGACCAATGCTAGAACGTGTTATAGAGGGCTTATCACATGATCCTATGGCGAAATCACTAAAGGAACTTACCAAGGAAGGCAAAATGAAGGTTTTGTTTTGAGGAGGAGCTCATGTATGCCCGAGAACACCGAATCTATGTGTCATAATTTGGGGGATTACGGAAAGTGCTCATAAGGGAATGCCATGATTCGAAGTGAGAGGGACATCCGGGGATTCACCAGACCTTAGCCTTAATAGCAGAGCTCTATTATTGGCCATACATGGGCATTGATGTTGAGGCCTATGTGAAGACTTGCCTTGTGTGTTAACAAGATAAGATTGAGCAGAAGAGACCAGGTGGGTTACTACAGATATTGTCGATCTTGGAGAGACCATGAGAAAGTGTTTCCATGGATTTCATAGTCGGTTTACTAGTTTCAGAGTGATTTTCGAGCATCATGGTCATTGTTGACTGATTTTCCAAGTATGGAACATTTATTCCAGCATCTAAAGTGTACCCAATCGAGGAGGAGGCTCGTCTTTTCCTTAAGTACATGGTGAAGTACTTGGCTGTTCCAAAGATGATCATCAGTGATAGGGACACAAGGTTCATTAGGAGGTTTTAAATGGAGTTGTTCAAGTTGATGAGACCATACTTGAACTTCTTGACGAGTGTCCATATGCAAACTGATGGGAAAATCGAGCAAGTGAATGCACTCGTTGAGATCTACTTAAGGCACTATGTGAGTGCCACGTAACATGACTGGCCGAAGTTACTAGATATGGCCCAATTTTCTTATAATTTGAAGTGAAGTGAAGCAACCAATCAAAGCCCGTTTGAGATTGTGACCAGGCAATAGCCGCTCACACCAAATGCGATTATGACCGGATACCGAGGGTCGAATCCAACATCATACCAATTTGCCAAGGAGTGGCAAGAGAACCATGATGACTTAGTCTGCACTTGTTTACACAAGGAGGGAAGCGAACCAATAAGTGGGCTAATCAAAAGCGTTGAGACGTGAATTTTGAAGTTGACGATCTAGTCCTTGCCAATTTGATTGAGATCTTGCACAACCTGAACCATAATGAGCTTGTGCAAAGATACAAGGGTCTCTTCAAATTTATGAAATGAATAGGCACCATGGCCTACAAGTTGGAGTTACCATCGACCATCCAAGCTCATCCTGTGTTCCACGTGAGTTTGTTGAAGTCTTTTCATCAGGATAAGTAGGACACGGATCGAGGAAAGTTGCATTGAACGCCATTCAGAGTGAAGGTTTCATATGAGAAAGAAGTTGAAGCCATTCACGCATAAAGAGCCATTAGAACAGTGGGATATATCCCAAGGCATGAATACCTTGTTCAATGGAAGGGACTTCCCGTGAGTGAGGGGAGTTGGGAGCCTGCCAAGGCCTTGCAGCAATTCTAAAAGGAGATTGACCAGTTCCATTCTAGCCGCGCGACGAGGGTGTCGCTAGATCTAGTGGGAGAGAATGTTACAGACCGTAAGCCCAAGATCAAAGGAAATGTGATCAAGGCTGCCAAAAGTTTTCTTTGCCACATTTTGGGCCTTCCAAAAGATCCAGAAGAGTTTCCAAAAGACCCAGGGGAGCTGACTCACTCATTTGGATGAAGAGATAAGGCACAATAATTCCTTATTTATCTTGTAGATATACCTCACAATTATCTCTTATAATTATCCATTTAAAAGGGATAGAAAATAGAGTTTTAGATAGAATATATTTTCTTCTGAACCATTGATGTAATTCAATTGTAATTGTTGGATGTAGGGGACTCCAACTATAAAAGAAGGCTCTCCGCACTTCATTTATCATCATCACTTTGAGGAATTCAAGTTAGCATTCTGTCATTCTCTCTTTTCTTTACTTTGAACGCCCATATCTTTATTTTCCATTTCTTTTGTTTGTTTCCTCTTTACTTTAATCAATCTTTATTTAAGCGTTTGAGTTACTTAACTGTCGATTCAACTAAGAATGTGACTAAGGCCGCACGAGCATTTTAGTAGTAGTCTATCCCCGTGACACTAAGGGATAAAGTAATAGCCTTGCTAAATGTATAATATAATAATTTTAAGAAAATTTCTTAAAGACCCAATGAAAATATACAATACGGTAAAGTATTTGTCGAAACGATTTTCTCTGAAGTGGGAAAATGTGGGTCTCGTTTTGAAATAATTTTTATGATCGGTTAACGATAAAATGTGGTTCGAGGAGTCACCACCAATCTTTGATCAGGGTGTGATTGGGTACCCAAAAAAGTATTTTCCATTTTAATAAAATATTAATTTTAATTAAAACAACAAACTTGCGATATATGTTACCAAGATTCGAGTTCGGGAGTTGGTTACGTGTGGGGAAGGATTAGCACCCCATAGCGCCCGAAATCGGTACCTAGTTGATTAATTAGTCATCTTCGCGATCAAATTTACGAGTTCGAGTCTAATTTAATTTAAGATCCCTAACAAAAATTATTGGGATTTTACGGAAGCTCGAATTGATAACCGAAGGGGTTCGTCAAGAGGGGTCGGGTCGGTTTTTTTGTTTAGAGAGTAAGGAGATTGAAAGATAGAAAATTGAACAGTAATTTATAGTGGTTCGACTTCTCAACTAAGTCTACATCCACTATCTTAGCTTCTCACCAAGGATTTTCCAACAAATTCACTAATTTGTTCTTTCTTTTTATAGGATAAAGAGATAACCTTTACAAACTACCTAGTTTTTTCACGGGATAAACTAGAACATTTCCCTAGCTTTTAGCAGGCTATGTTAGAACCAAAACCCCTTTACAATGAAATGAAATATAAATAAGAAAACATCTCTAAGGTAGGTGTTTACAAGAATTAAACTCACAATAACAAAAATATTTACAAGAGAAATATGAAATAAAAATGAAAAACTCTTCTCTTTTGTTTGATTGCTTGGATAATTGTTCTCTATCTTCTTCAAGTGTCCTCAGTTTGTTTTTATAGCTTGAAATAAGTTTGAAGTCGTATCTAGCCGTTGGGGATGTTTTGGAGCCGATGGGGATTCATTTTCTGCAAAATAAAACTGCTCAGAACAAGTAGTATCGGTACTACTTCAATAAGTATTGGTACTACCTTTGTAATATTTGAATTTTTTACCGTTGGGCTTGATTCTACTGTAGCAGTATCGATACTACTGTAGCAGTATTAATACTTATTTTGCATTTGATGTTTTTAAGTATCGGTACTGTTCATTACTGTTCACACAGTATCGATACTATTCATATGATATTATTCATTTAAATTCCAATAAAATGAACTTTGAATTATTTTTGAAAACTTTGAATAAATTCAATTCAAGTCCAAAAACATTTTTCCATAATTGTTATATCAAAACTTAGTTCAACAATCTCCCCCTTTTTGATATTACAAAACATTTGAAAAACAATTTATGGCAAAACTCACCCTTAATAAAATGTTTAACGAAAAATATATCAATTGTTACCAATTTTTTAGAAAATATATGAAAATGTTAAGCTCCCCTTTTTCATTAAGAAATTGAGTTTTTCAAACCATAACTTCTCCCCTTTTTTGTTATATCAAAAATAATTCATCTTCAAAGTTCTAAAATAACTTTGGAGAGTAAGTGATAAATTTGACATTTAAAAAACATTTGAAAAAATCAAAGCTCCCCCTCAATAAGTGCATTTCCAAACAAAATTTAGCTTTAAAAACTTGACACTTAACAATATTGAATTTCAACAAAGAATAACAAACATGTTAGTAGCACATGAAATTCAATATATCAAAGTCTAAAATACTTTATTTAATATCAAATTTTGAAATTAAGTCCATATGCATAAAGTTTTCCAAAAATGTTATGCATTACAAAAATATTGATATCAATTGTTAGAGAGCTATCATTTTCATTTAAACCACATGCATAAACATTCAAATTTAGGTCAAAAATTTAAAATTTATAAAATCAAAGTATTTGAAAAGTTGATATCAATTGTTAGAGAGATATCATTTTCATTTAAAACCAATTTTGACCAAAATTCATTATGATGAACTAAAATCATTAAAACTTTAAAATGTTCATCACAATTTCCTCTTAACTTACATGAGATTAAAAAAATAAAAATAATTTTAAAATCAAAACTCATGTATGTATAAATTCAAATGAGCAACCAAATAACCAAAATCAAAAGCATTTGAATATCTTTACTTTCATCACCATTGCTCCCACACTCCTACAAGAGACATTTAAGTATATTTTGGTATCCAAATTGCTTTGGATCCTTGAATGTTCGTTTCCATGCCCCTTGTTCCCTTGGGAACCCATACTTGTCTAATTTTAAAAGATTTTCTTTTCTTTATAGGACAAGTATGTTCCAAATGACCATGAATATGACAATGTGAGCATTTTGTCATTTTTAAACATAATGTGTTGTTTTTAGAAATTAATTCTTTTTATTTTGTTAAGCTTTCAAGCTTAACTTTTAAATCAAAATTTTCTTTTTCTAAAACATTGATTTTGACTTTTGAAAGCTCTAAATTATTTTGCAAAATTTCATTTTGATTTTCAAAATCAACTTTTACTTTCAAAGCCAAATTATTTTCAAGTTTTGAAATTAATTTCTTATATTTGGAACTCATGGTCTCAAATCCCAAATACAACACATTATAAGCATCTTGTAACTCATCAAAAGAACATGAATTTAATTCATTTGAGTTAGAAGATACCTCGAATTCTTCTTCGTTAGCCATGAGGCATAGGTTGACTACTTCATCATCATCATTGGAGTCATCTTCATCGCTCTAAGCTGCAACAAATGCCTTCTTCTTAGATGATCCCTTTTTTCTTAGAAGGGGACAATCATACTTGACATGCTCCGTTCTTTGACAATTGAAGCACACCGGGAGACTATTCTTTTTGGTTAATTCATGCTTCACTTCCTTGGAAGTCATGAATCTCTTTAACTCTTTGAAGAGCTTGGCCATCACATCTTATTGTTCATCATCGTCTTCATCCACCTCATCACTTGAATCTTGATAGCTTTCATTAGTGGATTTGAAGGCAATGCCTACCTCCTTCTTCTTCTTGTTTTTCTTCTCTTCGCCTTCTTCCTCTTCCTTCACCATCAACTCATGAGTGAGAAGGGAACCAATTATTTCGTCGAGAGTGAGAGACTTTAGGTCTCTAGCTTCGATAATGGTCGTCTTCTTTGATTGCCACTACTTAGGAAGATAGTAGATCATATTCCTCACAAGCTTCTCATTAGGGATTACTTCTCCAAATCCCTTGAGACCGTTGACAATCACAGAAAATCTATCCGTCATAGCTTTGATGTCTTCATCAGGTTTCATCTTAAAATTCTCGTAGCTATAGTTGAGAAGACTTATCTTTGTTTCCCTCACTTCGTTGGTTCCTTCATGAGTGACTTGGAGCTTATCCCAAATCTCTTTGGCATTGGAACAATATGAGATTCTTCCATATCCATCAAGGCCTAAAGCACAAAAGAGAATGTGCATAGCCTTAGCATTAAGCTGGAACTTTTTCTTTTCTTCATTACTCCAATCGTCGTACTCACCGAGTAGAGTGGAGTAACCCTTCATGATTGAGTTCCAAGCTCCTAGATCGTACGTTTGAATAAAAAAATTCATCTTATTCTTCCAATAGGCATATTTTGCTCTATTGAAGAAGAGTGACTTGTTGACCGGTTGTGAATCTTGAATGTATGAATCTTCAATGTAATAGGCACTGAAGGTTGAAGACATTTCTTTGTTGGTTGCATCGAGAATCGGTAGAGCTTCTTCGAGGATCGTCTCAAGGATGTGAAGCCTTCTAACGAGTCAAGCTCTGATACCAATTGTTGGGATTTTACGAAAACTCGAATCGACAACTGAAGGGGTTCGCCAAGAGGGGTCGGGTCAGTTTTTGTGTTTAAAGAGTAAGGAGATTGAAAGATAGAAAATTTTACATCAATTTATAGTGGTTCTACTTCTCAACCAAGTCTACATTCACTACCTCAGCTCCTCACCAAGGATTTTCTAACAAATTCACTAATTTGTTCTTTCTTTTTATAGGACAAAGAGATAACCTTTACAAACTCCCTAGTTTTTCACGGGCTAAACTAGAACCTTTCCCTAGCTTTTAGCAGGCTAAGCTATAACCAAAACCCCTTTACAATGAAAGGAAATGTAAATAAGAAAACCTCTCTAAGGTAGGTGTTTACAAGAATTAAGTTCACAAGAACATAAATATTTACAAGAGAAAGATGAAATAAGAATGAAAAACTCTTCTTTTGTGTTTGATTGCTTGTATAGTTGTTCTCTATCTTCTTCAAGTGGCCTCAGCTTGTTTTTATAGCTTGAAATGACTTTGAAGTCGTATCTAGTCATTGAGGATGTTTTGGAGCCTTTGGAGATTCATTTTTTGTAAAATAAAACTGCCCAGAACAAGTAGTATCGGTACTACCTTTATAATATTTAAATTTTTGACTGTTGGGCTTGATTCGACTGTAGCAGTATCAATACTCATTTTGCATTTGATGTTTTTTAGTATCGGTACTGTTCATTACTGTTCACACAGTATCGATACTATTCGTACAATATCGATACTATTCATACAATATTTTTTTATTTAAATTCCAATAAAATGGACTTTGAATTATTTTTGAAAATTTTGAAAAAAAATTAATTTAAGTCCAAAAACATTTTTCCATAATTTTTATATCAAAACTTAGTTCAAAAAAAATATTTTTTGAATTTTTGGATGAAACATGATAATATTTAATTATTTCCTATCAAGAAGAATCGATCTCTCATACCTTAAAGCAATCGATTCTTACTCCAATCGAAATAAAGAAATATTAAAATTTCATTCTAAAGTTCATTATTAATTCAAAATAACAACACCCAAAATAATTTTAAAAGAGAAAATGATAATATCTAATTATTTTCAGTCGAGAATAAATGACCTTTTATGCCTTAAAAAAGTCATTTATTATTCCAATCGAAATGAAGAGATATTACTATTTCGTATTTAAAATTCAATATTGGTTCGAGTGAAAGCGATAATATTTAATGATTTCCAATCAAGAATAAATGACATCTCATACCTTAAAGCAATCATTTATTTCTCCGACCGAAATAAAAAGATATTATTACTTTTAATATCGATTCGAGTGTTACTATTTTGAAAACCCATTTAAAAATACATGCAAAAATAAAACAAATTAAAAGCACACATCAAACAAGTACTATTATTTATTTATTTTACCAATCTTTAATGAGAATAAGGATGTTCAATTATTTAAATACATCGAGACGAGACTCTAGATTTGATCTAACAATCTTTTCTCGGTAAACTTAATTAAAAGAACATTATCTTTTTCTCAATCCCCATATTTTAAAATGGATTCAAATTTTTTTCGTGTCACTTAATGGGATAAACTTTCATTTTAAAACTATCAAAAGTAACTTTCTCATACGTTAAGACAGACACTTTAAGATAATATTAAAATGAATGATTATTACCCTTAGTCAGATAATTTTGATTCGAGTCAAGAAATACTTATGAGAGTATCATGCAAATTAATTAAAATAGAACCTAAACTGATATGCACCCAAATTACATATTTACATACATAGCATGCATAAAAATAATAACATAATTAATATATATATATACACACACACACAATATTATTTATCAAAATATAATACACTTAATAAGCAAATATTAATAATATAGAGTATGCATAAATTTAAAACTCATAAAAAGTAATATATATAAAAATTTCCTATGTTTTTATAAATATTTTAACTTAGGATAGAAATAATTATCTTATATAAAAAAATGCTAACATGTATATATATATATATATGCGTGTGTATAAAAATAGTATTTTAAAAAATAATAATATAAATGAAATAAATACATATACAATATAAGGTATTTCATAAATACATAAATATGCATATATAAAAGAATAAAGTAAAACAATGAAAAGTATAAGGATTAAAACAAATTTAAACCATTCAAAATGAGGATTAAATCATAACATGTTAAAAGAATGAGGGCTAAGCATGCTAATAAATCATTATCATTCATAATAATTTCTAAAATAAACAAGGATTAAAATGAACATATTAAAAATTACATGCTAGAAATTAAAATAAAGACCAACACATAAATTATGGAGACTAAAATATAAACGTTGAGGAACTAAAAGCTCAAAACAAAACAAAACTTCACGTGACGTCAAAATTAAAATATAACAAAAGATCGAACCCTTTATAAGTAAATATCCCACAGCCGAAAACCATGGATTTCTGTTAGCCCAAAGGCCACGCACGGCAGTATTGTTCTAAAAAATAATAATAAGGGTAAAATATAGTTATGGTCACTGAACTTTTCTAATTCTTTCATTTAGGTTTCTTAACTTTTAAAACTTATAATATAATCTCCCAATATTTAGTTTATTTGTAATATGGTCCCTCAACATTTAGTTCGTTTATAATATGATCTCCAACGTAACTGTTGGGAGGCCATATTGCAAACGGACTAAATGTTGGAGGATTGTATTATAAGTTTTAAAAATTGAAGGACTTAAATGAAAGCTTTAAAAAAGTTCAATGATACTTTACCCTTTAAAGATTGGGTTTAAACTTATGGGGTTCCTTTTTTTCCTCTCCAGATAATTTTGTTCATGCGGGCATGCATCTTGTTCATGCGGACATGCATACTGGAAATACTCTTTAGTTCAAGGCCTCATGTTATCTTACTTGATGTGGGCATGACAGCTGAACTCTCTGGGGTAGGAATGGCAACGGGCGGGTTTTACTCCCCCGTCCCCGAAATGAATCCTCATCCCCGTCTTCATCCCGTTCCCCGTCGGATTTTTTATCGGGACGTCTTGTCGGAGATTTTTTTGCCCCGTCCCCGAACCCGACCCGATCCCGAGAACTCGAACCCGACCTGATCCCGAGAAAAACCGTTTTCATAAAATATTATATATATAATTAATATAAAAATATAAAATATTATATATATAATCGGGGCGGGGCGGAGATACCTTGCCCCGAACTCGAATTCGAAAAAATCTCCGAAATTTACCCCGATACCCGACCTGACCCGAACTTAGCCGGGTTTCGGGTCGTGCTCTGGGGCAGATCGATTGAACTTACTGGAGTTTTTTAAGGCTGTTGCCCTTCGAGATGGTCTCAATGCTGCTAAGTGCACACTTCGATTATCTAAAAAGCAACGTTGCCCCAATCCAAAGGCTTTCGTGGAGGTAATGCACTATGGTGTATTTAACATACTTATTTTCCATACCATCATAAAAGTTCGTAGAACTGTCATTGAAGAGTTTGTTTATCCAAGAATTCATCAACATATTCATGGTTTACCATGTCTTTTTTAAGCATTCAACCATGTTTTCATATCAAAAATGGTTTATTGGACAAAGTTAGAACCTTGTAGACCAAGCATTTGACTTTGGAGCAGAAATACCTAATGATGAATCTGTTTCTTCTAGTAATGGAGTACCATTTTGTGGACCATGGATTTCATCTCTATTCTGGATAATTGGAACCTTTCTTAGATTGTAAAATGCAATTAATTAGGTTAGTGTGCTTTAAAGACATAAGCTTAAACTCTAGGCCTTTGCTCTCTATTGTACCCAAAAGAAATGATCTAAATCTATGCGTTTTACATTGCTGTGCAGGATGTTGAGAAATCTTTCGATTTATGGGACTCCCCAGTTGGCGAGTCTATCCACCCAGGCGAGTGCATACAGCAACTGCTTGAGCATGTTAGACGTCATAAAGTCAACATCGATGGAAATGTTTGTACCGTAATCGTTACCACCTTGGTTCTCGAGGTAATGCAGTCTTTGCCTGCTATTTATCTCAGACTTCTCTTCCTAATTTTATTCATTTTCTGCGTGTGACAAATAATGCAATTTAATCTATGTTGCTCCGACTCTTTTGTGAAATTCCATTGTTAGACATAGGTATGGGGATATGATCGTGCAATGGCCCTCAACATGCATAGAAAAAATTGAAGGAAAAAAAGGAAAGAAAAGAACATATCCACGTTAAATACTTATCCGTATCCGGCATTGACACTGGAGTCTGAGTAACAAAGAATTTAAGGATGCACATGTAATGTTCCGGCATACTCATATTTCTTGAACTCATTTGAGAAATCTTCAATGGCACAATGGAAACCATAAATGCCATTTGTAATGTTCTCAAAGTCAAAGAAAACGTTGTTTAGAGTGCCTTTATGGTTGATTAATATTAGTGCTTGCAGTCTGGAGTAAAATGGATCTCCAAGTGAGTGCTGATGCAGAAAAGTCTGAAGCCGGGCGGACAGCTCTGTGTTTGAATTCTAGCAGGGTTGCATTACATAACATCTCGAAAAAATTCTCCTTTATCAAAGTTCTATCTCTTTCTTTCCTTCATTACAATGAGAAAAATGCATTGCACTTTGTTGTCTTGAGCATATCCAAGAAAACCTCGTAGCATACAATAGCCGAATCTTTCTTGTAAACCCTCACCAAAATTTGCACGAAGGTGAAAGGAATTAGTATATAATCTCTATTTACCTTCTTGTTGAACAATGCCTCCTAGATCTGGAAAACTTAAGAAGTAAAACTTGGATTTACGTTTATGTTTCGTTTTCCATCTTTGGCAAGGATGGCAGCGGAAGCTCGATCCTCAACTGGACGTGATGCGCACGTTGCAGACTTTGCTATTTAAAGTTGACTGGGTTAATTAATATTCCGCTTATACGGATACTGTGTTTTAGTCTTTTTTAGGGTAAAGTATAGTAATGTTCACTTAAATTTTCTAAAGCTTTCATTTAGGTCCCCCAACTTTTAAAACTTGTAATATAATCCCCTAACATTTAGTCTGTTTGCAATATGATCCCTCAACATTTAGTCCGTTTACAATATGGTCACTGACGTAACTGTTGGGGGACCATATTGCAAACGGACTAAATGTTGGGAGACTGTACTTAAAGTTTTAAAAGTTGGGGGACCTAAATGAAAATTTTAAAAAAGTTTAGTGACCATTACTATACTTTACCCTAATATTAATTAAAGCCATACATTGGCTTAACCTTAACCTAATCTCTTCCATTTTGTAACCCCTCTCTCTGTGCAATTTATCCCATTCTTAAACTCTCCCCTTTTCATTCTTCTCAATAGAGAAAGTTCTCCCCGTCGGCCGCCTCTCTACTACTCCGATGAGGGGCCGATGAGAGTCCGATGACCCTCCACATGCTCCCTAAAAAATATTCTTTCAAACCTCCTAAAAATAACCCCAAAATAACACCAAAAATAGGCTACCTTGAAGCTTCTCGATTTGCTTCCTTTTTATCATTCTTTCGGTTATGTAAGGATCTTTGGGGTTCTAGAGGTAAAAATTCTTCCTTTTTCTCGTTTTTTCTTTGTTTCAGTTCTTCTCTCTTTTTTTTCAATTGATTTTTTGTTTTCCAGAACCGAAAAGTCCCCCTTTTCTTGTTCTATTTTTTCAAAACCCGAATCCTCCTCCCTTCTTTAGATCTTTTTTTTATTTTTCGAACTCTCCCTTTTTCCTTAAAACTCGAACTAAACCCCTTTTTACAGTGAAAAATGAGGCCTCTTTCATCATCTTTTTTTCTCTGTCTTTGTTTGTGGTTTGTAATGAGATCCTGACTTTTTTTTTGCGTGTTGCGGTTGCCTTGCAAGGGTTGGAGTGGAGGTAGCGTGTTGGAGCGGATTCGGTGACGTGGAGTGCTGGCAGTGGATAGCAGGAACGGCGGCGGGGGGTTGGTGCAAGAGACGGCAGTGGTAGAGGGTTTAGAAACCCTAGCAAATTAGGGTTAACATTGGGCCCAGTTTTGGGCTTCAGGTACCGGGCAGTGTCTACTTCTGGGTCGGGTTTGGCTTGTAATTGAGGGTCGGGTCTGTTGGGCCAATTGGGTTATTATTCTGGGCTCGATTGGGTTATTATTCTGGGTCCGGTTGGGTCTTGTAACCTGAAAACAAAAACAAATAATAATAATAATAATAATAATAATAATAATAATAATAATAATAATAATAATAATAATAATAATAATAATAATAATAGTAGTAGTAAAAACGGGACAAAACGGGTGTCGATAGAATTCAACTTGTTATCAAGAATAAGATGTTGCACTGTTGAGTTCTTTTACCATTAAAATTTACAAAATAGTCACCTGAATATTTATACATTTCAAATTTATTATCTTTCATTAAAAAATTGATAGTGTTCTAGGCTAAACGATAATATCTTGACTCAACAAAACAATGTAATATAGTCGGGGGAATGTTTTTTTATCATATCATAATCAACGGCTTAACGTCCAACTAAGATAACTGTTAATTTTTTAACAAAAAATGATGAGTATGAAACATATAGATAATTAAATGATCATTTTGTAACTTTAATAGTTGGAGATTTAATAAAATAATATCTTATAATTAAAAGACAATTTTATAATTTTTAACGAATTCAACAAAATATTATCTTATAAACATGGACCCATTTATATATTTTACATTATAAAATAATAGTTCATTAAATATACTAAAAGTTTTATATACAATACATAAAATTAAGATGCTTTTTAGACAATTCTTATTTTTTTCAATTTTATTTTCTGTTAAAATAATAATAGTTCATCTCAAATTTTACCTATAGGGGTTGATTCAAGTGGTAAGCAGTTTGATATTGTTTGAGTAAGATCTCGAGTTCGAGTCTTTGTGTATGCAGAAAATCTATGTTGAGAGACTCACCCATCAAAATCATGTGTGCGACGTGAACCCGTCTAGACGGGAGGGCAACCAAAAATAATAATAATAGTTCATTAAATATATAAAAAAAATACAATACATAAAATTAAGATGATTTCTAGACAATACGTATATTCTTTCAATTTTATTCTTTGTTAAAATAATAATAGTTCATTAAATATACTAAAATTTTTATATACAACACAAAAAATTAAGATCATTTTTTAGATAATTTTTACTTTTTTTTTCTCCAAATTTATTCTTTTTTTAAAATATGCATCTCTAGTTTTTCTTTTTATAAATATTGCTTGAATACAAGATAGTATATGCTCAAAGACTTTTAACCATTTGATAAATCTAATATAATCTTCTCCTATTGTATTACATAATTATGATCATGATTCAGTGATACTATAGGCTCCAAAAGAACCAGATAAATTCGAGGTCAAAGAGGAATTAAAATGATGTCTTTATGACCGGCGACGGTCGCAAAGGGAAAAACCGGACTAATTGGTGATCAGAAGATGAGCATTCAAACGCTTCTCAGGAGTTGAAGGGCAAAACAAGAGCCTCCGAGAGAGCAGCCACTCAAGGCTAACAATAAATATTATATCGAAGGTGTATCTCAAGAGACATGTGGTTAAGCACGGAACAAAGACCATCGGAGAGTGCAAATCTCCAAAATCCCCAAAACCAATCATTAATCATTCTTTCTTTGTCCCCTTTGCAGAAAAGAAGGGAAATGGCTACTACGAGACTTGGAATTCTTCAGAATCTTGTCCCCGATGGAACAAAGGTAAACTACTCAATAATATGTTCTTAGAAAGCTTGTAAACAATAACCACCGGTGTGTGCAAATCTCAGGGTTTCAACACTCGATGCACTCCTTTCATTACTCAACTCTTCTAAAAGTTGAAAATAAAATACAAAAAAGAAACTCGGTAAATGGAATGAATGCATTACACAACTTGCCACAAATTATGAGGAAAAGATCCTGGAGGTTTAGAATTTTGTAAATCAGATTTCTTAGATGTCACAGTTGAGTAGTACATTCGTATCCCTTGTGGTCTTAAGTTATCAAGGTACAAAGACCAACTTCTAAACTGAATCTCTTTATTGTCCGACTATTTTACACACCGATAACATCCATGCTTGAAATTCAATTGAATCAAGGGTATGAAAACAACCGCATCCACCACCCTCCCTTGCAAAATATTTGAGTTTCTTGTTCATGCACGGTCTTCACTTGCATGGTTTGGAACTTCACTTCGACTATGCAGAGGCATGTACTGCGACATTATAGCTCGGATTTCAGAGTCCATGTATGACCGCAAAAGTAACAAAATAACATTACAAGAAGAAACACAACATTTTCAAGCCAAGCCTCCCCATCAAAAGGATTCAATGCAGCCCAGAAGTCGAAATCATAAATAGGTTTATTTGATAATACAATGTACTGACTTACCCTTAATCTGTATTTGTAAACAAGATATGCACCACCACCAGCCATTGCCAATCCGATTAAAATGATCCAAACAGCAGCCCATGCTCATCTTACTTCAGTACCCTTACCTGTGATAGAAAAAGGAGTCGACATCAAAACAATAGCCGTATGTTATAGACTCGAAAGAAAATAGGTTCCGAGTAAGTCCTAGGTCCACCAACTCACTTATGCAGGTATCATGGTCCCTCATATACAAAAGATCTCCGCTGCAAGTGCACTTGTAGCTTCCCCAGGTATTTTTGCAGCTACATTCAGGGCACTGGCAGGCTTTCTTCTCTTCGCATTCATCAACATCTGCAAGATGACAAATGAAAGAAATATTAATATCTGTTTGCTAGAATTTGAATGTACGAGTTTGAGTTCCTAATAAGATCTCGAAACATAATATCTAATCGTTCGGGAATTCACTTTCACAACTTTTGACACCATCACCTTTAAACCCTGGAGGACACTGGCATTTAGCATCTCCAATATCCTGTTCAAAGCATCGTTTAGAATTTGAATTATTTTCAAAAGGATGGGAAGAACATAATAGGAGCTTAGAAATTAACCAAACATGCAGAGTATGAATGTCCATCCTGCGATTTATGCCAACTCCGTTGTTAATATTGCACCTTCCAGGCCTACTAGCTGAACGGTAAAAAGAAAATAGCATGTTAGAGAATATCATGCAGAGAATAGCATGTTGTCTTGCCTCTATCAGACATATGACAAACATTCATGAAGGGGCTTCGAACCAAGAAAAAAGTACAAACAGCAAATCAAGTTTGTCACAATATAGAGTTATCAACAATGAATCTCGATCCTCACCTTCACAGTGAGTATAACCATCTCCTTTAAATTGCATAGCATTCACCAAGGGACATTCACAGACTCTACCTCTAAAAGTATCCTGAGCATATCAATATAGAAGAGAGAGTTAATGCTGTCATAAGCAAGTAGATAACCTCGATCGATAAAGTTTCAATTAATACCTTGCAAGCTGTGAGATTGGCCGCTTTATCTTGCCAACAACCACCGTTATTATCCAAGCATTCATTCGTCTCCACATCTGAAACAGAACCCGCCGTCACTCTTGTTTCAAATAACCAGATGTAGGTTGAACCACTAGATTTTGTCACACCTTCCAAGAGCAGGCTCTGGAATTCTACCAGCCTACATTCTATGGTAGCCCCTTAGAGGCAACTGACTAACATAATTCACTTACAAGAAAATATAAGAAAAACGTACCACCACTCAAACAAACAGCAGGCCCAGTAGTCTCTTCAAAACCAGAACAGATGGCCTTTAGAACAGCACCTTTGGCCAGCTTACCTGTACACAGATATGTCAGAAAGGAAAGCACCAAAAGTGTATCTTTGAAATATACGTGTGAATGCGAACCTCTGTATTGTCGATTGTTGACAACCAGAATCGGCAATATTGTAACATCACCCCTTGATCCTTTCCCCACCTACAGAAAATGTTTCT